AGTCTTTTCTTAAACACCTCCCCCAGGTGACTAGCCAAGGCTGAGAACTCCTGAGATAAAAGAGATTTAGAGTTCTCATTAAAGTAAAACACAGAGGAAAGCAAGGTGCTGCAAAAAGCTTTAGTAAATCATGGCCCAAAATTTTCCAAGTCATTATTGAACTGTTGAACAAATGCAGGCTTTTGAGTTCAACTTTTAATAAACCAAATGTGAAATGTGAAACTGAAGCACAGGTTGAAAACAGACAATCTTTATCTTTAGAGTTCATACCCTAAATTAGCGCTCCTTGAACTTTAAGGTGTAATTCCTAGGGAAGATTCTGATTTAATGAATTTTGGGGATGGGGTCTGAGACTGTTTTCTAACAAGCTCTCAGGTGACTATGCTGCAGGCGGGGAGACCCCACTTTGAGTAGCAAAGCCCTAAGTAAAATAAGACAATTCCCCTACAAATATGCTTATGTCTAGGACCCAAGAAGTAAATGTCAATGCTTTATTCCTACTCCAGGAAAGAAACAAGGACGAGGAAGAAGAGGAAGGAGCAAGTGAATACTCTTTGCTAGAGTCCAGCATTTCTAAGAACCATAGAATATTGTTACTTGTCCCAACCTAGTAGCTGTCAAGGTGATAGAATCTAAATTTCAAGAGGTACAGGTTTTTTAGTTTACTGCAGAATCCTTAAGGCCTAGCACATTAGGTACTCAGTAAATGCACTTAGTGAATGTATGAATGGCAAGAATGTACAAACAGCCTCTATTTCTGCCACAACCCAAAAATATCTGGGAAGGGGACTATTTGTACATATGTTTGCGGACAACCATAAGTTTGATACAAATACCTGACCCACTCCTTGCACTCCATTTTGTCTTTTAAAAAACTTCCATACCAACACTTCCACTTAAAAACTCACGTTTCCTGCACCCTTATGTTTTAACAACTTCTTAGCTTTTTGATAACAATTAAGAGGTGGAAGGACAAGGGGAAGGATTCGGAAAAGGCTCAAATATCAGAGAAAACAAAAAAAGCCATAGAGGGAGAGAGGGGCAAACAGTTCAGTTTAAGCGAAGGAGCGAGCATCTTACGCTGTCAGGAGTTGCATGTTCTTACCTATGACGGTGGCGGGGTTTGGGTTCGGGCTTTTATTTGTTTTGTTACTGTCCAGGGTAGGGTCACTGGTGCAGCAGTACTTGGCTGTGGAAATTTCAGACTTAGAGAAGCAGCCGACTCTCAACCCATCTTCAAAATGTACGAGTATTCGCGCTTCGATCTTTTTCCCCTTCCCAGGGTCTCCCCGCGCGTAAGCAAAAACTGCCGTCACCCAAACACAAGATGATCTGAGCAGCCTCACTGTTGGCTTGAAGCCACACCAGGATTTAAGATGGCGGCTAATACACTAACCAAGGATATGGAAAGCTCGAGCAATTTGCCCAAAAGAAAAATGACCTCCACTCACGATATCGCCGCTTTCAAGGAGCGCCCAAAACAAAAATGGCGACAGAGGGTGAGTGTTTTGCAGATTCAAACAGTGAGTATGATTGGCAGATAACGAATCAAGGTTCTCCACTGTGCTGGACCGCGGAGATGATAGAAAAAGAAAGCGCATTTGTGTCATGCAGAGTGCTTCCTGATACAGGAAAATAGCACAAAAATGGGAAGATTCTTCTGAATCTTCTATAGGTAAGATTATGGAAAAGACAGGTTGGAAAGTAAAAGTGGCTTTTACAATGCCGGATAAACTTTAGCCATAAACATAACTTCTTCCATAATTCTTTTGAATGGTACAAGAGAGTAAAGGTTTGTCCTCGAACTGAAAAGCAGGATGGGGAGACAGCGTGGAAAATTCCTCATTTGTGCAGAACCGAAGTTAGAATCCTTCCTGCCTCCCCGTAGGTTCCCGAAGGTTGAAGATAGAAACTTTGAGGCGACCGGCTCGTACTGCGCATGTCCGCTTCCCAGCCCGATCCAGGGACGTGATGTCTGGCAATGCCTGTTCTCCTCGTTTTCCAGACAGCCGTAAAAAAAAAGGCGGGCATTGGCGACGGAACCGCAGAATCAGGCGCTTTTGTAATTGGTCAAGCCAGGCGGCGAGCTGTAGGGCACCACTACTTTTTCATTCATTCAATAAGTGCCTCTTAAGCACGCGCCACAAGGCAGATACTGTACCCTAACAAGTCCATTTGAGTTATTTAAAATTTTCATCTTGAACAATTGGCTGAAAGTGACGCTAAATAAACTCCGCCCCCTGTTCATTACGGTCCGTGCCACAGCTTTCTTGGCTGAGATTTCACTAAAACCCGGAGGAGCGGATTCCACCCGCGAAGCTGCGCATGCCCCGTCTCCCAGCGCCCGGCGCGGATTACGGGGACTTCGGTGGCGCCTGCGGGAGTCTCGGCCTCTGGGCCCTGCTGGTGGCGCCGGCCCAAGGAGGCTCTGCGGCTGGTGGGCAGGTGAGAGCGCCGGAACCTCAGGCGGAAAAACCAGCTTTCTGCCCAAAGAGAGAAAAAGGGGCTTGTAGGTGCTCTCCTCCTCGCTCTCAGAAAGGTGACTGGTGTCCTCACGGAAGGGTGTTTGGGGGCGGAGACGAGGAGGAGTCTGGCTCCTTATAAAGCCAAAGACCTATCTTTAAAATAGCTATAGGCCGTAAGTACTCTCTGGTGGAAGGAGTGTAGATCGCGAGGAGGTAGGTGTTCCAGCATTGTGTGTAGAGTTCCAGGTGTGGACCTTCCCCACTGTCCCACCTGCACGGCCGCACCGGGAACCGGATGGAAACAGCGTTAGAGTGGAAGCACCGACTGCACCTGCGCAGCCACCTTCCGGGTGGAATCTGGGCCCGGCCGCTCACTCCTTGACGGGGAGAGGTCACTGTATGCCTGTGTGTGTCTGGGAGGTGAGAGCCACCCTCTGACGTGGAACGGGACGTCAGAACTGTTGTTCAGCTTTGCCAACGGTGGGAAAGCAGAAGCTAACTCACGGGTCCTTCGACGTTATGGGGATGGAAATTATTTTGAGGTGGAGGAGACCGCCTGAGGTCATGCTCATCTTCCTCTCAAGTGGGACCATGCCCAAATCCTGTTACCATTTCAGAGGTTGTCAGTTCTGGCAGTTTCTTTCATAAATATCGTCAATTTGTATTTATGTTCATATACATAGATAGATATATAGATAAGTGACAGTACCGAGTTAGCATATGTAGTAGCAACCAAAAGGCATGGTTCCTGACCACATGGAGCTTATATTCTAAGGATGGGAGAAGAAACAATAAATAAGTACACTGAGAAATGTACAGTTTCCAAGTTGTCCTAGGTTGGTTTCCTGGAAAACAGACTCTGGGGAGATTTGTGGACAGGACATTAATTAGAAAAGACTTTTTAGATCTTACCAAGGAAGAAAGAAAACAGGATTGGGTGGACAGAAAAAGTTGAGTTGGAATGCAGTCCCAAAGTAGGGCTCCTCCACCAGTCCCTTGGGAACTCTGGTGCTGGGGTGGCCCTCCTAAGTTGTCCCAAGTTGGAGGGAAGGGCCAGGCCTTGATACTCCTGCAATAATCAGTCATTGAATGCCTGTTGCCCTGGAAAGGGCATCTCTCTTCACTAACAGCCAAGGGCTGTCTCAGCGCCCCCAGGAGCTGGGGAAATAAGTCTTTCTTAAGGGAGATCAGGGAAACGAATCGCTGCATTCACCACTTGGAAGGTACTAGATGTGGTAGAGAATAGTGGGGGTGGGAGAGGGAAGAAATTAGATTGGGTGCTCAGAGAAAGGCCCTATGAGTAGGTGACATCTGAACTAAATGCTGAAGCACTAGAATGAGCTACCCTACGTAGGACAAAGGAAGCAAGACTCTCCACTTTCTGCTAGGACTGAGAATATAGTGAAGTAAACAAATGGCTGCTACCTTCTGATATTGTGGGTGGCACTTACCAGTGTTTCTAGATATTGACCCCTGCTGTAACTAAAGATAGAGTAAGTGAAACTGGATTGAGACTAATTCAGAGGAAGACAGAGGAGAGATTGCCTAGTTCAGTATTAGTCCACTTGGCAAAAGCTTTTAATCTATACAGTATTTCTTTCACTCTGATACAGCATTTAGTCATGTTTTATTAGGATTGTACCTTTCTCTTCTCAAGCTTGTATTCTCTTTGAGGACCGGAGCCATACCTTATTCATCCTGGTAATCCCACTCCACCCCTGACTCCCAGCCTAATGTCTTGCTGGCACCTAATAAACACTAAACATTTGAATAAAATTAATCTCACATATTTGGAGTGAAAATTGGTAAACCCTAAGTGATGTAAGTACTGTAGCTATGACTGTATTGGGTTTGTCTTTACAATATTCTCCAGTTTTGTAAGTTATAATCAAATATGTGAAATACTAGATGATAATATATAATTGCTTTGGTCAAACAAATCTCCAGAAGTGCCTGTTTTTTTATGTGGTTTGTATTGAAAATAATGCACTTCCAATAATAATAATAGCTGCCATGTACTGAGCATTTCCCACATTCTAAACACTATACTAAACAATACATAAATATATATGTAGTAATCTTCAATGTAGTCCCATATTATAGATTATGAAATTAAGGCAAAAGATAAGTAATTTGCCCAAGATCATAACTAATTTGTGACGGTTGTTATAATTTGATTCTCATTGTTACTGAAAGCCTTTGCTTTTAAGTTACCAACAACATATCTGAAAATGTGTTCAAGTCTTGTCAAACTAGGAATCTCAAATTTAGTCACTTGGCAACTCTAACTTCATTAACTGTTGAGAAACAAATATGAAACTATTCACTCTGTCTTTGCAGCTTTGCTCTGTCCCTGAGTTTTCCTGGCTTTCACTGTAAGAGCTTGACTGTAACATCCTGGAATCTGATTACAGAGCCACCCTCTAATCAAAATAGCCTCATAGTCCTCAGAAACTCTTTCATTAGAATCTAGGTATTTGTATTCACATCTAAACTAACTGAAACTGCCCAGAGAAGCAGGCCTCCTTTATGAGGACCACTTCCCTTAGTCTAGGCAGCCATTCTAGACCTGTCCTGTTCTTGCTGTTGCAGGTTGACTCCAGTAATGTATTTTTCCTTTTGAAATCATCAAAATAAGTAAGCTATAATCAACAAGTCCAGACTAAGTGACAGATACTGTGCTAACTGCACAAAAACCTTGCAACATGGAAGTCGTCATTATTCTCATTTGATGGGTGATGGAACCAAGGTATAGTGGAGTTAAGTGAAGTGCCTCATTCAAGGCCACACAGCCAGTTGTGAAGCTGTAAAGGTGGGGATGGAAAGCCCGGGCAGTGGGATTCCACAGCTCTTCCCCTTAATCACTAGGTAACCTGGATTCTCTCCCAAATGATTTATTGTGCTTTACCTTCTGAAAAACTGGTGGTCTGGAATTATATCCTGGTGGGCTTTTTACACTGTACTAAGAAATTTAGATTTCATCTTCCAGTCAACAGTATTAGTAAAGGCTACTAGTACAGTAGAAACACTACCAGACTTCTGTATTTTAGCAGCATGGCTCTATTAAGAATGTGGAGTAAACTTAGTAGGAAGTAAACTGAAACAGTGGTTCTCAAACTTTAGCTTCAGAATTACCTAGAGAATTAGTTGAAACACAGATTACTTTTTAGACCCCCACCCTAGAGCTTCAGATTCAATAGGTCAAGGGTGACCCAAGAATTTGCCCTTCTATTAAGTTCCCAGTTGTCCTAATGCTGCTGGTGAGGGGACCACACATAGAGAACCACAGGATTAGAAGCAAGGAGGTCATGTGAAGTAAAAAGGGTCTAGATTGTGAGTGTGGGAAGGTTATATCTTAAGTGATGTCATGTCAAATGGCAGGACTGGATGACTGAGTTAAGGAGGAGGATAAGGAAATGGGCAGAGTCCACTATATCCAGAATTCTGAATTGAATGGCACAGTAGTTACATGGGGTTTTTTATTTTTAATTCTGAACAGGAAATAGAGGTGGAACAATTGGGGAGGGAAGGAGGATTTCATTTTTATATGAGATAAAATTGAGACTGTCCATGGGTACAATTAGGTAAAGGTGAATAGGAGCGGTTGGATAGGAGCGGTTGGATACATGGGTCTAAGGTGGAGATAAAGATGCAAGAGTCATTAGTGGATGTATTATAATAGAAGCTTTGGATGTGGCTGAGACCATCTAGGAAATGAACACAGGAAGAAGACAACCAACAGGTCTTGGATAAGGGTGAGTAAGGAGACTGAAAAAGGAAAGACTGGAGTCTCAAGTACTTAAAGGAATTCCTGGAACACATCAGAATGTGTCAGAGAGCTCAAGCAAGGAGAGCGATGATTGATCTTTATAGTTAGAGCAGTTTCCATGGAGAACAGAACAAAATTAGATTACTTGAGTTCACTCGTGCAAATGGGAAGTAACTAGAAGAAGATCGATTATTTGAAAGGAACCAGATTGTGTAGGAAGGGAGACTGGTGAAGGGCAGTTGCTTTAGGGAATTTGTTTTTCATTCTTTGGAGAAAAATGATCAGACTATGCAGAAAACAAAGACTCATTATTAGATGGGAGGTGGGAAACAGAAGAGATGGATAGTGCAGTTAGAACCCTGAATACACAGTAGAAAGAGACAGCGGAGAAGGATGGTAAGATGAGACCTGAGATGGATAGGACTTCACATGTGGGGACAGGAGGTTGAGGGTGCTAATATCCAATAGCCACAGTTGACTCTGGCCTGTAGATTATCTTCAGAAAAAAAGGTGAAAAGTAAATTGAAGTCTCAAAAATGGTGAAAACAGAAATCAACCCCTTAGGGAGTCAAAGCTGACCAAGGTACATAAAGTCACAGCTGTACGGCCCAATTTCTCCACATTTAGTCTGGAACATCTCACTATCTGCATTATACCCTTTCCTCTTCCCCACCAAGCTCAGCATAAAATGGCAGCCAGGTTTAAAAGCTAAGAGGTGATGAAAGATTCTCAGACAACTCTATGAACTTTATAAACTCTAAACACTATAACCTTTCTGATAAGCCTCAGCCTGCCAGGAAGCTGATTTGCTCTTGCATTAGCCCCTAATCACTCATTCACATTTTGAACTACCAACAGTTAGTTAAACTCTAATATAAAACTTTTGATGCTTTTACTATATTATTTATTTATAAATATATTGAACTCATGACGGTTGGTGGGGAGGTGGGAGCAAGGGGGCAGGTAACAAAGACCATAAAACACTTAGCACATAACTGTTGACAGTCACTGTACTCTGACTACTCAGGAACCACTCCTGACAAGGCTGTGCTGGATGTAGGTCAAGCTGACCTTGAGTGATGGGGTGGGGATGGTAGGATTTTGCTTAGAATTTCATGTATGATCAGTTCATCAAGAAATGACATTAGTGTTTTGGGTATGTGTGTTTTTACAAGATGAACAGCTCAGCAAAACTTATTTTTAGATGATGTCAGAAAAGAATTTTTCTTCTTTCTCACGCCAATCAGTTAAATAGGCATGAAGATAATATGCAATCCATTGTAATGTGTATACAAAAATGCCAAAATCTGAATTGCTGTATTAAAAATTGAGGATAAAAAGAACTATTTTCAGCATAGGAATTGGAATTTAGGAATGGAGAATTCAAATACCTAACACCAACATTGTCATTGTAAAAGAACAGCCAGTATACTTCATCAAAAACACAATCAGAAGACGTGTGTTAATTGTTTAACATTCTGTTTGATGTCCTCATGATTAAGTCACATTGGGTGGTAGTTTTTAAAAATTACCATTTTTTCAAATACTGTAAGTAGAACAGCAATGAAGACATAAAAAAAAGTATGTACTTTACACTGTGTCCAAAATACCAGCAGATGGCGCCCAGCAAGCCCAGTAGCCAAAATGACACACTGCATAGAGTTTATCTTGCATACAGGCTGCAAAAGGCCTAATTGAGAAACTTGGTGGTTTTGATTGATAAGATGCTTCATAAAAAGAAGAAATAATCTGGTAGCTAGAGCCAGGCTCTTGAGGATTTTCTAGGAAGCTTAATTGCCTTTTTGCCCTTTCACCTTACTGTCCACTTCCATCACCAAGAAATCTTCATTTAGCTTGGAATGTAACAGGTTGTAGTAGGCCTGTCAGAGGCCTTAGTGGTAGAAATTGAAGAGATAATAGAAAGTTAGTTGTTCTAGACACAGTAATGCCTTAATGTTAAAGAGTGTTTGTGATCTGAATCATCTTTCTCAGTGTTTTCCTTTCTTGGCCTTTATATTTATATGTACTCCAGAAGATTACAACATTTTATTGAGGTGGAAAGATAGCAAGCTTCTCCCTGTTCTGCTTATTAATCTCTCACTATTCATTCTGTACTAAGAACTAAGCTAAAGAAAATGGACTGAAATTAGCCCAGCTAATCTCAACTATTAGTAGATCACAGATGTGTTCAGAGGATATAGACTTGTTAGTCCTCTGATTTTGGAAAAGTTGCGCAAGACCACTGTGAACCTCTCATGTGCTGAGATAAGTTGCACTTACTGCACTAGCATAGCTGACCTCAGTGACTCTCATGAGTGTGTGCTGTGCACTTGGAGTGTTCTTCTCGTCCATCATCATGCACTGGAAATTCTGATGGACTCTATTGACAAAGCTGGGTCACTGATTCTTGACTTTTGAGAATTGCTAACTGGAACACCAATATTTTTAGGCTCTAGAATCTAAGCTGAGTGCCACAATTAACTGACAATAGTCCTGGAATCAATCACTTAGTGTTTCCTTATTTATAAAGTAGTCTCACAAAGTTGCTATGAAAACAAAACAAGAAAAAAATATGAAACCTTTTGAATAATGCAAGGTATATATTTTGAAAGAAGAGTATCCCAAAACATTATCTATGTTAAGATTGCCTCTAAATGTTTCTAAAACTTAACAAAAGGCATTTCAGTGACTAAAACAGTAAATACGATTTGACCTGAACTACAATTTACTAATTTATTTTCCTTCCATCATTCCAGGAGTCTCATACCTTCTGTTCTGTCTGTTTAGGAGTGTGTTTAAAGAAGATTCACAAAAGGTAAGAAAAAGGCAGTGACAGGTAACATTAAAAGGGGAGTGAGGAGGGGGAAAAATCATCCTGCTGTCATTTCTGTTCTTTTACTCTAAGTAAACTTGAAAAGTTCAATGAATGAAAAAAAAGCACTAATATTTCAGTGACAAGCCTGTTATTGCTCATAAAGTCAGGTCATTTTAAGCACATTTGTGTTTCAGACTCTGGAATCTCTGGTGTCCATGAAATAGTTACACCACTTGGGATGACTTGCCAAGTGTTTTTGAAGGAATGACCTTCACAAAAGAAATTGTGTTTCCAAATTGGATCTCCCAGTATCCCTGCTGCTCAGCACCATAAACTTTCATAAAACTCAAGGTTTTAAAAACCTTGTAAGTTCATTTGAAAAATTTAGGTGTTGAAAAATCTAGTAGTTCTTTATGTTACCCCAGGAAACAGCATTTAGAGGCTAAGAGTAGAGGCTCTGGAGTATTTACAAGAATATTTATTGTCAGGATATTTAGCAATGAAGCAGCACTGAAAAAAATCTCATCTCTATCAGGGATCTGTCAAATTAGGATATCTTCATATAATCAAAAACTATACAGCTATTTAAAATATGGAGATATATGTTCTTGGGGAGAGAAAAGACTATAAAACAGCATGCACATTGTCAAGTTTTTGTTAAAACCAAAAAGATGACATTTTTAGCTTTTCCTTATTTTACATTTTCTAACTTTAAAAATTAAGCCTGTATTTATATTAGGCAGTGTTTTGAGTTTTCGTTTTGAAAAATTCCCACAGAACAATTGAGAAGAAAAAAAGTATCAAATCAAAATTGTGTCCCCAAAATACATTTGATTGTACTTAAAAGCTCCTCAGGAGTATATAAATAAAATAAGGAACACATTACCTCACTAACTACCACATCAAAAGTCAAATTTTAAATCTTTGTTGTCTTTTTCTTTAATTAGCAATGAGCCTTATTTAGTAAAACCTAGCATGTCTGGGAAGTTGGTTATTTAGGCAGTAGAATACATGTAATGTGCTGGAAAGCCATTAAGTGAAAGAAGCATTATGCTGTTTTAAAAGAGTGCCAATTCCACCTTGCTTGGTGGGGATGGACTCATATATGGGGTGATACTCTGTGTTTTATACAGATTTAAGTGTGAAGACTCTAAATTTACTTTGTAAAGTAAAAGGCCCTATCATCCTGACCGTAGTCATTTTCCAGTCCTCTCAAAAGACAACAGAGGTGCCACTGTGAACAGTTACCTGCCTCTCACCTCCATTAGCCAAATTGGTATATGAGATGAAGAGAACTTGAGGAAATAGGGGCATGTATGTGTTCTGTAGCATTAAAGCAATCATGAAATCAGTCCTCAGCTTTTACTAATCAGGAAGTGCTGTTACTGGGCCTCAGTGATATTTTGACAAACAATGAGTGTTAAGTCAAAGCAGATAACTAATTTTCAGGTTTAACTAGACTTAAATCTAGAAAAAGATGCATAGACCCTTCAGTTAGTTATCTGAATGGAAAAGAAAAATAAATACACTAAAAATAAAATGGAGTGCCCAAAGACAAATGGAGTTCCACCTTGCTTGGTGGGGATGGACTCATATATGGGGTGATACTCAGTGTTTTTATACAGATTAAGTGTGGAGACTCTAAATTTACTTTGTAAAGTAAAAGGCTATATCATCCAGACCCTAGTCATTTTCCAGTCCTCTCAAAAGGACCTTAATCCATAGATAGTCCAAAGATTCATTAAGTGTAGGTAACTGATTTGATGCAAATCTGAGATTCCTCGAAGAAGGGTCACAGAACATCACACCACATGCTATGTCTACGTGGAGAGAATATTCTCTACAACACCTTCCCAAGCATTGCTGTTACAGATTATAGTTTAATATATTCTAAATTCTAGTTAGTGAGTTACTTATCCCAACTTGATTTTTGTATCCTTTATCCTAATGATTCTATAAGCTGTTTTCCTAAAAATTTATAATTCAGGAAAAAGCTGACAAATACTGAATTATGTTAGCGATGATGCAGAAGTAAACAGTGAATAGCAGAGATACCATGTATTAAAAGTAATGTGACTTGATTACCTCATGGTGAGAGTGACAGAGGTGATAAAGTCACCTTAACTTTGAGGAATTGACATGAGTAACAGTATCTCCTAAAGCTTTCATTAAAGACGCTTTGTGGACAAAAATGCCCTGTTGTCAGTCAGTTATAAGCCAGCTGACTTTGGTGCAGCCTCTGCCCATCCTTCCCTCTATGTTCTTAACTATAGTTCTTCCTTCATTGCTCCAGATGACCCAGTGCCTCTCCCAAGTGTTTTATTACATCCTCAAATCTCAAATCTCCAAAGGCTTTGCACATTGGGCTTCACAATTAAAAGTAGTGATGATGCAGTTCTGTAATTGACTTTGTCCAAAGATAGAACATAAGCGGTGACAAAGGTATGATCTCTGAAGGTTGCAGAACTGAATGGAATGCAAAAGCACTTTAGAAAAGGCAAAGGCCACAAAATGATTTCTGTTACCAGGTAGACCATGTTTTCTCCATTTAGTAGTTTAAGTTTAGCAACAGANACACAAATTTGAAAAGATAAATGCACCCCTATGTTTTATTGCAGCATTATGTACAATAGCCAAGATGTAGAAGCAATCTAAGTGTCCATCAATACATGGATAAAGGATAAGTGTTACATATATACAATGGACTATTACTCAGCCATAAGAAAAGAACTTGTGACAACATAGATGGGTCTATAGGCTGTTAGGCTAAGTGAAGTAAATTAGAGGCAGATACCAAGTGATTTCACTTGGATGTGGAACCTAAAAAAACAAAACAAATGAACAAATAAACAAACCAGAAACAGACTCATAAATAATAGAGAACAAACTGGTCATTGCCAGAAGGGTAAGGGTGGAAGGACAGGTAAAATAGGTGAAAGGGATTAAGAGGTATAAGCTTCCAGTTATAAAATAAATAACACAGAAGGATGAAAGGTACAGGAGAGGAAATACAGTCAGTAATAGTGTAATAATTTGTTGGGGTGACAGGTGGTAACTACACTTAATGGTGAGCATTTTGTAATACATATAAATGTCAAATCACTGTGTTGTATACTTGAAACTATTATGTACAACTAAAAAAAATGTAAGAGATTTCATGATACCGCAACTCATACACATGCAGTTGTACCTAATTTTAGCATGTCCCTTAGATGATAGAGCAGTCCTTATTGTCTGTGCTCAGAAAGGAATTTGGAAAGTGGGTCCATTCGTATCATCACAAGTCTGTAAACTAATCACTAAAATTTAATAGTGTCTCTTAAGTAAAAAAGTATAAGGAGTTTTTAGAGGTTATACAGACTCAAGTTCCCAAACCAACAGATCATCAGAAACAGAGGCCCACTTTCCAAATCAGAGATAGAGGGGGGTAATATCTATTTTTAATACTAATTAGCTTTGTCACTCTGGCAAGTTACTACCCACAGTTTCTTCATGTAAACTGGGTTGACAGTAACCCCTGTGGGTAGAGTATTAGTGATAAGGATAAATACTACAAAATGTAGTTGTTCCAAACAAATGTGCAAATGGCAATAATTCATCCTAATTCGTAGATTCCAAGCCAAAATTTGTTTGCTACAATTGGAATACATGTATGACCATCCCAATCTCTGTTGAAACAGTATCACATCTGTTAAGATTGTCACTAAATGTAATTTTTTAAAAATCTTAACTTCACTGGGGCTCAGAGAAACTATAATTCATTACATAAAGAAAAGTATATCCATGCATAAGTATTTCCAAAGATTTATGTAGCTTTCCTAGCAGGAAATGTTGTTCCTTTATAATTTTTGACTAAAAGTTTATATTGTTTTATAAGTTTCGCAAGCCTGATTTACTGCTATCTCTTTGAACCTACAACATGCCTCCTTTTGTGAGTTAACATTGCAGTATATTGTAACTAAAAATGTTTAACAGCTTTTATTAGAGTACATATATGTTCCCTTTGTGGTGGTTTATAGATGTCATTTGAGGGAGTTTCTGTTTCTTAACCACTGACCTTCTCTTAGGTGCTCTGACAGTGAAGTACTATGAGCTTTCAGACCTTCTGGAGAGACTACAAAGTTCTGGTTGTTATGGTACCTTTAGTTGGGCTCATACATTTGGGATGGCACAGAATCAAAAGCAGCCCTGTTTTCCAGATACCTAATAAGGATGATGGTTCTGAGCCAGATAGTCTGGCACTTGCAAGTCCTCAGAAGAAACACATTCAAGGGAAATAGCAGGCTTGCAGTCTTTAGGTAAGTTTGATTTAATCTGGTCAACCAAGTGCTGTGTTCCAACAATGGGAAATGTGATCTTTAAAAATAAGGAGCAAGAAAAAGCCTAAGTTTGCAAGTTCCTTATTGTTTTCATTATGGCCCACTAGCAAAGTACTGTTCTACAGTTGCTTCTAGGAAAGTTGGTTCCACAGAGAGCTTTGCCTCTTGTCTGACAGAGTTACTTGGATGGAAAGAGGAAGGGCAGTTAGTCTACTACTTGTCCTGTCCTTTCTCCTGGCATGTCACCAGGAGCCTGAATGTGTCTGACTGAGCAGTTGTCTCCCTGCCATTCTGGAACATACGAAAATCTGTAACCTGCAAAAGGTTCTTTTCTTTATTATTCTCTGTTTTTTCCAAGACAAATAAAACTCTATAATCATTCCTGAGTATCTAGTATTTTAGCTTCAAAATAATTTGTTACTTTTGAGAATCGCTGAAATATTATAGTTACATAGTTCAGGTCTATAGTCCCTTACCTGTAATTCCAAAATCCCAGAAGTTTTAAAATCCAAAAGGTTTTGTCATAACTCTTTTGGTAACAAAACTTGATCTTCGCTGACATGAGGCAGTTTGCGGTTTTTATTCCACTTAATATGATTATTTCACTTCACTGCAGAAGTACTGTGTTTGATTATAAGTGTCAGACTATGCTATAATTGTGTTAATCATGGGTATTAAATACTACATTTGATTATGGATGTTATAATGTATATTTTATTTTTAAAATCCAATAATTCATAATTATGAATTATGAAACTCATCTGGCCTCAGAAAACTGTAGCCCTATAAGTTGTGAAGCATTTTCTGTCTTAATATACTTTTTTGACCTTCTAGTGAGTAATCATGTGCTTTTAATTTTGGCATAAGGTAGGTCAATTTAGGGTTCTGCCCCTTGTAAAAGGAAGACTTGAGTAAGATTTTCTGCATTTTTAAGAGGACTGTGATTTTGACTAGTGATAAAATTTATTTTAAGTCTAGATTTTATTTTTAAATCTTCATAAGGAGAAAGGGAGGAGCATGATTTAAAGTATTAGATAATTTTTAATATAAAAAGCCAGACAATAAAATATTAGAAGCTTAACAGCTTAAAAATAACCTTAAGATACTGTGTGTAACATTTCTGTTTATAGGGGGAGTTTTAGTGGACATGAGCAGGGGGGTTAAGAGTTTGTTGGTTGGTTTTTATATTTGAGCTCTTTCAGACTGTAATGAGGTCACTGTGTGTGTGTGTGTGTGTGTGGTACTTAGGACATTTTTTTCCCTTAATTCTTGTTTGTCATAAGGATCTGGAGGCCTGGTGTAGCCAAACTTTGGAGAAAAAATAGTCATTTTCTCCTTGTGCAAAAAGAAATAAAAAAGAAAATAAAGGTATTCCTAGAGGAAACTTAATTAAGAAAAAAAAGTATCTCCTCTAAAACTTAAGTTACATATAGTAAGAGATTGTAGATGCCAATGCTATTAAAATTAGAATTTTTAGAGGCCAGTACTGCCAGTCAGGCAAGCAGAAACAGGTATTAAAACAGACTTTGAGCAAATGTTAAAACCAGATTTAGAGTGAGTTAAACTGATTCCTGACCATTGAAGTACATCAAAAGAATGTGTTGTATTTCTCCTTTATTTAAAATTTTTATTTTTATTATGGAAAACTGCGAACACACCCCAAAATGGAGAGAGGGTACTATATTCAGCTCTCTAATATCCATCACCCAACTTTAACATGGACCAATATTTTGCCAATCTTCTTTTATCTATCCTTCCTTCCTCTCCTTTTAAAATTGCTGGAATATTTTAAAGTGAATCTCAAGCTTTAGTATGTGTCTTTAACAGTATTGGTAAACACACACAACGAACATGCATTATCACACTGCAAAATTAATGGTAACTCCTTACTACCATTGGATACCCAGAGCCATGTTCGTATTTCCAGATTTGTCTTAAAAAAAATGAATCTCCTTTTATAGGTACTTTATTGGAACTGGGATCCAAACAAGGCCCACTAATTGTGTTTGGTAGATACGTCTTTTCAACTATTACATTTCCCCTCTCAGTCTGCTTTTTTTGAATTTCCCACATTCTGAACTTTGTTGATTTGAGTCCTCATTTTATCATTTAATAAATTTCTCTCTCTCCCATATTTCCTGCAATCTGGTGGTTAGATCTGTAGGCTTGCTTTGATTTGGTTCCTTTTTTTTGAACAAGAATACTTCACATACAATGCTGTGGTATACATCCTGGGGAATCACAGTTTCCCATGTAATGTCGGATCTGCTTTCTGTATTGCTGATTATAGTGAGTTATCACTCTGATCTCTTCATTATAAAATCTACTGATGATCATTGCTCTAATGTAGGAATTGGCAAACTGTTTCTGTAAATGACCAGATAGGCTTTGCAGACCATACAGTCTCTATTCCAGCCACTTCACTTTCTGTTGCAGCACAGAAGTATTCACACACAAAATGTGAGTGAAAGCCAATAAAACTTTATTTTACAGTAATAAGCAGTGGGCTGGGTATAATGTAGGACTGTAATTTGCCAAAAAAAAACCCTGTGACAGTCTAATCCATTATTCATTAGGGGCTGCAAAATGATGATACTCAAATACTTTGTATCATTCCTTCTCCATTTATTAGCTGGAACAACTTTCCCTCACAAACTATTCACTCACCCTCAAAATGCATTTTTGAAGGAAGAGCAAGATGCTCTTATTTCCCTGTCAGCAATGAGGGTTTTTGTTTTTAATGATTATAGGAATTCATGGGTTTGTATATATTTTAATGATCTCAATCTTACTGGCAATATTTTTAAGGTTCAAACTGTCCCTTTTGGCTTGACTAGTGTGTGACTATTTTCCTGTGCCCTTTAATATGTCCCAAGTAGTCCTTGATAACCATTATGTATGACTTTTTGGCAGAAAAAGTGCCCAGCTCATCTTGTATATTTCTTGCCTTGGACCTAGAATCATCCATTTCTCCAAGGAATCCTGATTCCTTTTAGAAAATTTTATTAATTTATATTTCTTTAAATTATATTTTACAGTGTATTTCTGAATTTAGAATACAGTCATGTAAGTTTAATTATTATTTAATTAAGTTATCCATCACTGCAAAAAGCCCATATGTCAGGCCAGTGTATCTAGAAATAGTCAAGACCATTCATGTGATGGTAGCTTTTGGATCTATGGGTCACATTGTCAGGAAGAAGAGTCTTAACAGAGCTGAACTGACATTTCTGAACCTAGTCTATAAGCCAGCCCAGTGTATTGCTTCATTGCTCTTCTTTCAGTTATACCTTATTTTGTCTGGATCTAAACCTCTGACCCCAGGTCAGCAAATTTTGATATCCTAAAAATGATTTGAGGGTGACCAATACTGTCAGTGATTTCTTCCTTTCCCGTTTTATGGAGATGTTAACCAAAAGCTGTTGTTACTGGTCTTACTACCACAAGACCGAGGTTCCAACTTGGCAGTCCACTTTTGAAAAGTTGCATATCCCTAGTATGTATTGAAAAATTACTTTTAATTAGAAAAATAATTTTATTGATCACAGTTTCTGTTGTGATTTATGGTTTGTGTTGTTTTTGTAACTTGCAAATTAACATCCAGACATCACTTCACTAAGGATTCATCTAAATGTATTTCACACATGTAAAATATGCCACAGAATCTAAAATAACCATTAAAATAATATTTAGGTATATTGAATATTCATGGCATAAATAAACAGAATATTTCCCTCCTCATGCTATTAAAAAAAGGTGACTATAGCTTTATCAGTCACAGGGAGAAAGCTGGCTGTCATTGCCTCCACTTTATTTGGGCCCTGTTGCCATGGTTACCACCATTTAACTCAGTTGGCAGGAGTGGTAACCGAAATCCCATTTCAAGTAACATTCCTTCATTCTCTTCACCTCTTCTTAGCACATCTTCACATCACCTTTTCTGTCTGAATCACACTGTGCCATAGTCTACTTCAGGTCATACTTTCATCAGGGTAGTCTAATTAGTGTTGTTTAAGCTAAATGATGTCTAAGTGGTTAGCATAGTTAGCATATTCCTGAAAATAACTAGTAATTGGCTGAACCTTCACCTTCACTGTGCCAAGCCTCAGCAAATAAGGTCCATGACCTGAGATTTTTATTCTCTCCACACATTATTAAAGTGTCAGATTTTATGCCTCAAGGCACACTGTTTACAACCTTGTTAAGGAAACTCGTACAATTGCTAGTGCACTGAGTGCACGATAACATTTTATGGTATTTAGGCTCTTTGAGATTGAATTGCAGTTCAGATCCTATTTTTCTCTCTGTCATCCAGCACATTCCCTGTGTTTTATATTTTTTATTATTCATCCAAAGATTAGTTGTAGGATCATCAGAACTGAAAATCATTGATAGATAGGGTACAACTACAGAAAATTAGCTTGGACTGTAACCAAACACTTCAAAAGTATGGTTTATTCCTTGGTACAATGTGTTGTGCAGATTTACACAGCTTTAGACTGTACATTAGAGAGTGTCTGCAGTAGGAATACAGTTATCTTGTTTTCATAATTTACAAGCAGGATTTGATGTAAATGCATTCAGACCTAAGGTTTCCAAGGAAGCCAAAGTTATGGAAAAAACAATTAAATCTTGATGTAAGAGAATAAAAATATTTGGCCTTTTTTTTTTAAGATTCAGAGACCATCTTCTATGACTTTTATAATGTAGTACTTCTCTTCCATATCGTATTCAAATAACTGTACCACAGACTTTCCAGCTGCATTGCTGTGTATTCCACAATCATTGAAATAGCAGCACTTTTTCTTGTAGGGCTTCACTGAAGAATAAAGGAATGAATGTTTAGTCTAAGTTGATTTGCATTTCTCATTTGGTGAAGGCTTGTGCCAGTTGGTAGCTGCTTTTTCTCACAAAGGATCAAAGCATGAAAATATTAAACTACAATCTATAAAATGTCTTGAAATTAGTTCTCTGAAATGTTTTATTTTTATTTCTTACAGAAAGAAGCATCTTTGAATCTGAGCTTTGCTAATTGAAAGAAAAGATGAAAAACACCAGCTGGATTAGAAAGAACTGGCTTCTTATAGCTGGGGTTTCCTTCATAGGGGTCCACCTTGGAACATACTTCATGCAGAGGGCTGCAAAACAATCTGTAAAATCTCAATCTAGAAACAAACAAGAGAATATTGAAGAATGAAGTAAAATAAGTATTTGGAATTACTAATGTAACATCAAATCACTACATGCTGATTTGGTTTCATAAACATGGAACCATTTAATTTTATAGCAATAGTACCACATATCCCGATTTTCATTCCTTAAGAATAATTTTTTTAATGTCAAAACCCATGACATTGCAAAAAACAGAAAAATATGGTTAACAAAATAAAAGCTGTCTTCAGTTACCATCTGAACTAAGATGTCTCGTTTAGAAGCTAAAAAGCCATCGTTGTGTAAAAGTGAACCACTAACAAGTGAGCGAGTCAGGGCCACACTTCCTGTCCTGAAAGGACTCTTAACGTCATGCTACGGCCCTTCAGGGAGGCTGAAACAGCTGCACAACGGCCTTGGCGGCTGTGTGCGCACAACCTCGCAGTCAGCAGCCCTGCTGGCTAACCTTCCCGTCACCCACCCCATTCTGAAGATTCTGACAACTTCCGTGAGGAATCATGTATCATGCTTCAGCGACTGTGGCTTATTCACAGCCATTCTTTGCTGCACCCTGATTGAAAATGAGCAGAGAGTGGGCCTGACACCTACCACTGTTATTAAATTAAATAAGCATCTTTTGAGCCTCTGTACCAGTTACCTCAAGTCTGAGGTCTGTGGTTGTCGGATTCCAGTGGACTTTAATAGGACGCAGATCCTCCATTGTTTGGTGCATAGCATACTAAGAAGTAAACCTGCCTGTATGCTCACCAGAAAGGAAATAGACTACATCAGTGCTTTGATTCTGAGAGCCTTTTTGCTTACAATTCCCGAAAACACCAAAGAGCACCTCATTTTAGGAAAGAGTTTAATTGTGCCTTTAAAAGGGCAGAGTGTTACAGACTCTACTGTATTACCTGGAATACTTATTGAAATGTCAGGTATTCAGTTGATGAAGATATTACCTATCACAAAGCCAGATGCCCTCAAGGTGGCACTCTTCTGTACATCGTTATCTGGGGATCTGTCTGATACTGGAGAAGGAAGTGTTTTGGTCAGTCCTGGGGTTTCTCTTGAAAATGCAGCCCTGGATCAGTTGCTTAACCTAGGAAGGCAGCTAGTTAGTGATAATGTAGATCTCGTCTTGTGCCAAAAAGTTATTCACCCATCTTTGAAACAGTTTCTCAGTGTGCATCGTGTTATTGCCATAGACAGAGTTGGAGCAGCTCTGATGGAACCCCTGAGTAAAATGACAGGTAAAAAGCACTTTCAAGTTTTTTCCCCTTACAGTCAATAAATCACACTTTTTTTGAGCAGAGGTATTCTTGGTGTGTGTCATGTGTTAACATCCTGAAAAATTTTAGAAGCTGCCAGCCTCACAACATGTGTATCATCTGGCAGCAAGGGTGGTTTCTGAAAAAGATACCCTATTATTTATTCACTTATTAAAATTTGAGTGATTATAGCTATTTCTTTGTATTTCCAGCCCCAACATGTACTGGAGAGTCTTATACTCTAAAACTATTAACCACCCCCCGGAAATACCTTACAGATTGTTGAGAAGTCTGCCTCGTAATCATATAAGGTCTTTCATATTTTACATAAAATTATTCTACATGAGTTTTACAAAGCCCTTAAATCATATATTCAGAAGGTAGTTTTGTATTCCCTTCACTTTTGTAACTCCAGCAAACTACTGTACTCTGCATAAATAGTGGGTTGCTAATTAGGGGTGTGTGTATATGTACTGGGCTCATCTTTTATTTGTAGTGCTGACAGTAGGCCTGATCTGCAGTAGGTGTTCTAAAATGTTTGGTGAATTGACCAATATATTTAGTAACATGCAGAATTATAGTAGGCAAGAAATTCACTGTATTTCACAAACTAAGCAAATTAAGACTAGATATAAGGTTGATATTCACCTATTAGAGCCAAAGTAAAATGGCAAGCTGAAGAGTCCCTCATTTGAGCCCCTTGTCAATATCCCTTTAACTGCATTGACAACCTATCAGGCATTTCATTCTGATTGATTGCAATGTTTAAGTTGAAGTTCACTATTTTTGGTCTTATTATAAATCATCAAAAGTAGTAGTATGTATGCCAGTGTTGAATACCTAATATCTTTGGCTTATTGCCCTACCTCTCTAAGCTAGTGATTGTCAAAGTGGAAATTATTAAGAAATAATGGAAATTGTTCTCTGCAATTTGATATTGACATTGTGGGTCAGACCCAATCCTTAACTATTTACTGGCTTTTATGAAATCAGATTATTTCAGTTGTGAATATTGGATATTACAGATTATTTGATTGGTTTTTAAAATATGAAACATTTTGCTGTAGACACAGTATTATAAGTGGGCACTGGATTTCCACACCAGCCACATTGGTTTATTTAAGTGGTTTTTAAAATACGAAGCAGTGTGCAGTAGACACAATATTAAAAGTGGGCACTCAGTTTCCACACTAGCCACATTGGTTTTTATCCCATATGCGTGTAACGAGAACATATTAATTGCCAGAGCTTAATCCTGGGGTCTTAGGAGCAGAGACCTTTTGAGATAGAAGGGAAGGGGGGAAAAAACTATACCAGGCCCATGGCTTTGTTAAAGTAGGAGTAGGCAAAGTATGTTTGGGCCTAATCCACCTTCCCTGGGATATCTAGGGTTAACATTACATCCTTTCTTCCCCTTTGAACAAAATTCCTCTTTATTGATAACCTGGGTTAAGTAGTAGGATTGTGCATGGGAGCTGGTGTGTGTGAAGCTTGTCATGGCTCAGAGCATTTTTGACATTGTGACGAGGACATTATGATCCCCATTTTACTCTCTCAAGGGGGAAGCCCACCCAGAAAAGCTAAATAACATGAGTGACTGGCTCCACGTCCAGTGGCTGATAAACAGTAAAGCCAGATCCTCACACCACATCCTCTGTTGCATCTCCCATGTGAAATTATACAAGATGTAGGCTTTTTCCCCCTTAAATTTTAGATTGCTCAACTATTCCCTATTCTTTGAGGCTTCAGAAGTAGAGAGGAAAGGATATTTGAATAAGTGAAATTGTTCAGTGATTATTTTCTGGATTCTTAAAAATTTTTTTGAGCTCCCGGAAAATATATGCAAACTTTTATGTGCCTTTTCCAGAGAGTTTAAAGAAGTCTGTAAACCCAAGACCCAGTGCTTTATTTGTATATAATTTTAATAACAGATTTCTACTTTTTTAGAAGATGCACTCATTTTATCCCATATTTCATGTTTAAGATTACATGCTTATAGGACTTTTATATTGGCTGGAAATAAATATAATTTTAAATGATTGCACCATCTTTACTCATACATTTTGTGTTTTCTAAACTTTAAAAAATAGGAACACAACCTATTGGTTCTCTAGCCTCAATCTCTCCTAGTAGTTACGGAAGTGCGAAAGATTTGTGCATAGCAAAGTTTGGCTTCAAGCACTTTTTCCATCTCATTCCTAATGAAATGACTGTCTCCAGCTTGCTCCTCTGCAGCAGAAATGACACTGCCTGGAAGGAGCTGAAGGTACGTAATGAACTTTTTTTAATTCCCTGTCTAGAAGCTGAGACAAGGATTAGTCATTCAGACAGTTACTATAATGTTTTTCACATTGGTAAGCTGTTTCCCCTCCCATGACTTCCCTAGGTGTATTAGATAGCAAAAACAACAAAAATGAGAGAGTCACAAGCTGATTTAATTGCCTGTGACATTCCAGTAGACTTGGAATGTGTTACCATTTATTATTTCTAGTATTTACAATCTAAAGGTCCTTGACATAAACTTTTCTTAAGAAATTAACTTGAATCACATACTCTTTGATGCTAATGTATATGAATAATACACTTAGAAAATGAGTTCCCCAGTCATCCCCATCATCCATTTCTTAATAGAGGTTTTTGTTATGTATAAACAACACATGCAACTTTTATATAAGGAAAGTGATAAACCATGGTATTGGTCACAAGCGTGAAGATTCACATGTACTCAAGGATACAGCCTTGGTAAATGTTAAAGGTCTCTTTTTTTTTTGTGGTTGGGTTGTAGCTGTGTTACCATTTCCAAAGCAACTTGAAATAAATGCTGTAGCGTTTATACAACTTATTTATTTAGACTGAACTACTTTCTTTAGTAGAAGTACTAGAAAACGTTGCTGACCCAGCTATTTTTGAGGCCATTTGTAAATATCAACTTAAAGAACTAAGTGTGTATGAATTTGTATATGAATAATACACTTAGAAAATGAGTTCCCCAGTCATCCCCATCATCCATTTCTTAATAGAGGTTTTTGTTATGTATAAACAACACATGCAACTTTTATATAAGGAAAGTGATAAACCATGGTATTGGTCACAAGCGTGAAGATTCACATGTACTCAAGGATACAGCCTTGGTAAATGTTAAAGGTCTCTTTTTTTTTGTGGTTGGGTTGTAGCTGTGTTACCATTTCCAAAGCAACTTGAAATAAATGCTGTAGCGTTTATACAACTTATTTATTTAGACTGAACTACTTTCTTTAGTAGAAGTACTAGAAAACGTTGCTGACCCAGCTATTTTTGAGGCCATTTGTAAATATCAACTTAAAGAACTAAGTGTGTATGAATAAAGATACTAATCTGGCCCATGAAAGGAAGCATCTGGCTAAAGTATTTTTCTTTAATCTCTAATCTTTATTACTCCAAAATGTATTCATCACATTATAACCTTGGCAATACAAGTCCTGTTCTTTTGCAATTAAAATCAGGCTCCTTGAGTCTTATCTAAGTTGCCTTGAGAACATAGTTGTATTTCTTTGTATAGCTGACATCAATGTCTCATTCTGATAATTTGTTCCTTTTTTAGCTTGTATGTCAAACAGCACTGCACGTTTTGCAGTTAACAGTCAAGGAACCATGTGTTTTGTTGGGAGGTGGCTGTACTGAAACTCATTTGGCAGCATATATCAGACACAAGGTAGGCTACATAGTCCTTCAGATGATCTGAATTCTCAGCAGTATTCACTGTATGAGATGGCAAGCTAAATCATAATACCATGGAGCCTTTAATGCTTCATTTCTCAGTAGTCCAAATCAGATACTGTGTTGTAAACACTTGAGAAAAATAACACTTGAAATATAAAGTAATATCTTTATCACATGACATTATTAATCCAACATTTTACCAAATGATCACTGTTATTGTCTGAACATTGCATCTTGAAGTAAGCCTTCTGTTCATGGGAGTTGTCATACTAGAGGTCTCAACTGCTGTGCAACAGTAATAACTGATATGCACAATGAAAGTGTTGAGGTTCTGCAAATATTTCAGTACCTCTGGATCTTCAAGAAAAGACGATTTTGAATTCATTTATTAAAGCATTCTAAGTATTATATTCTAATTTTAAAATTGGTATCCACTTTTGATATGTAGTCTGTCAAACGGAATATTTTTAACTAATCTAGGACATTCGATTTCCTGATAATTGGTAAATTTAGTGTAAGTTTACCTGTTTGAAGTTAAAATTTAATGTAAATTTTGGGTTAAATTAACCTGTAACATATTATGCCTTGTACTTCATATGTTGAGGCACAACTGGGCAGTCGTTCAGACAGAATCGGATGTTGGGGTTTATTCTGATTCATTCATTCTAATGACATGATTGGTTGCATACATTCTTACTATAACCTAGCAGGTTAAGAAATTATATAATGGTAAGCTGACCCATATATAGCCAGTAGCATCTTGCCAAATCCCTAACTAAACTGAAAGTAAGTAATAACTCTATGAGTGGAGTTTAACCAAGTATCGTTTTTCAAAAGCATTTTTATAATATTAATTGCTCTGTGTTTCAATGGTTTTATTACTCTTTAGACTTGTAACGAACCACAAAGCATTCTCAAAGATGATGGATGTACTCAAACAGAACTTAAGCTAATTACTGAAGCCTTCTGCAGTGCGCTAGAATCTCTCGCTGGCTCTTTAGAACATGATGGAGGTGAAGTTGTCACTGACCTGAAGTATGGACACCTTTGGTCAGTTCAGGCAGATTCTCCCTGTGTTGCTAACTGGACAGATTTGCTTTCAAGATGTGGCTGTGGACTATACAATAGCCAGGAAGAACTCAGCTGGTCCTTCGTAAGGAGTACTCGGCATCCTTTTGCACCACAAACCTGCCTTCCACAGGAAGCTGCAAACTCAGCCAGTAACCTGAGCTTGGACTGCTTTACTGCTAAGCTTAGTGGCCTACAGGTGGCTGTGGAGACAGCCAATTTGATTCTGGATCTTTCATATGTCATTGAAGATAAAAACTGATATATGATAAGTTTAACTGATGCAAGATATGTTTATATTACAAAAAAAAAAAACTAGTAAGGTGTCAATTAGGAGAAATATTGAGTGTATTTGTTCTCTCCCGAAGGCCTGTTCTGCATATTTGGATAGATGATTCATAAAATTATAGGTTTACTCATGTAAGGAAAGAAAGGTATGATTCTCGAATAGAAATACCACAGAGTAATAACTATGAAACATTATTATTAAAGACATTATAGTTATCTAGGGATTCCACATAATATACCACTGTATATTCTAAATTTTTGTTGTTATTTTGACAGCATTCTAAGAAATAAAAAATTCTAATTATGCTCTGCTTTGGATATATTGATTATACATATTTTTAGTTAGTAATTACATATCTTTAAAGTATAAAATTAGATTCCAAAATATCCCAGAGCATACAGTGCATATTGCTCAATCAAAAGAAGTACTGGAACTGTACACATGGTAACATCTCAGCATTCTTTATCTGAGGCTGTATCAGGTAGTGGGTAGTGATTGATGTAGAAACTAGTCTACCTGTAGTTGCTAGTTTGAATCACAGTTCTTCATTTGTGTACTTTGAGGAAATGTGTAATTAGGAAAAATTAGATTGAGGTAGTAACTAAGCACAGAGAAAAGAAGTGGAAAAGGTATTTCTCTAGTTGAGTCAATAATGCAAAAAAGAAACTAGAACAATGCTCCTATTCAGAGTGGAGACACTGATGTTTCACCAAGGAATGTAATTTCAATTTTATGCAAATACAACCTACAGTGATAAATTGAAGAGGAAATACAGGCTATAGCCATAGGAATATGTATGGCACTGTAACGGGTATTATATTAAATTTTAGGAAAACATCTTGAAAACTTTTGGAAAATTAAATAACTTAAAAGTTAATGATCAGATCTATAGCCGTGATAGAGGGAGATAGAATTCTTAAGCAATTTCTCCAATATTCTCATAGTCTAAAAGAATTTTTACCCTGAGCCAAAGAAACAATTGCCATACAAACTCACAGGATCACAACATATACTGGAAAATCAGCTACGCTCATGCCCATAAAATACTTCTCTAAAACTTTACTTCTTTTGTTACTCGAGTCGAATAGAAGGGCAGTGTGGTAGTCAGGGAGCCTCTAAGGTGGCCAAGTACCCCCCACCTCCTGGCTTTCAGGCAGTGCATAGCATCCCTTCCCTTGAGTGTTGGCTGGATGTAGTGACTCCCCTGAGTCTCTATTTCCTCCCCGCCCCCTTTGTGAGCAGGAATGTCTTTCCCGTGGTTATTGGGATTATCCTGTGTCTGATCCATCACTGGATGTTGGGAGAGTAAGGCAAATAACAGATGAAGAGGAAGCATCCGCCAGGAGCTGGCCTTAAAGAACTTCAGCCGAGGAGCCTCACCCGCCTGACCTGGTGTCAGTGATGAGATTCTAGACTTTGCACTCATGTTGTAATGCAGTGAAACTGGAGAATTGGGGGAGGGTGTGAATGTACTTTGCATGTGATGGGCAGCCTCTAACATGGCTCCCAATGTCTCCCCTGACCCCCACAGTAGCCCACCCTTTTGCTGTGGATGGAACCTGCTGAATAGCTTCTAGTGAGTAGAATACAGCATAAGTGAGAAATGTCACTTCTGATACCAGGCTGTAAAAAGATGAGCTGTTCTCTTGATGTCTCATTTATTCCCTGTGATGGAGGCCAACTGCCAGCTTGGAAACTGCCCTATGGAGAGGCCCACATAGCAAGGGACTGAGGGAGGTTTCCAGCCAACAGCCCACGAGAAACAATCCTACCAACAACCACTAGAGTGATTTTGGAAGAAGATCTTCCTAGTGGAGCCTCAGGGTAGCCCCTGCCACTGCGGACACAGAGACCCTGAAGCAGAGAATCTAGCTAAGCCACACCTGCGTTGATTGCTGACACACAAAATCAGAGATAAAAAATTTTGTTGTAAGTCAAGTTTTGTGTGTAATTTGTTATGCAGCAATAAGCATCTCATAAAGGCATAGGTAAAAGCTTATTTATAATTGCATATTGAAAACTTGGTCACACAGTGGGGAAAAAAAAAGCATTCTTGATTTCCATCACATCAAAAACTAAAGGTACTTTTGCATTTCCATCACACCAAAAAGTAAAGGTAATGTTCTCTCACCTGTTTGCAGTGGGGTTTCTACATTCACTTAAAGTGTGTCACATAGGAATATGGGAATTGTCCTGGGTCTCCTTGGCCCTCTACTGCATTTCCAAGTTGCTCCAAGAGGGATGCCACAGTGAATCCCTCCAATTGAACTTAGAGGTTAATTTAGGTCTCCACCTCTCAAAATAGCCATTTTTAGCTTTGCCATAAAATCATGTTCTGTGAAGTTGTAGACAATCCTTACTAGAAAATACTGTAAATAATTAAAAACAGAACAGAGTTCCTTAACAGTTCAAAAAAATCATCATTCAAACTCAGTAAAATATGAGATGAAAATTCTTGATGAAAATCATTTTAGAGGAGCTCCTTTTGACAGAAATAAATGACAAGACGATGACGACCAGCAGGAACTAAGTTAAGCCTCAGGCACTGTTGTGTGACTTAAAGTAAGACTGAGGTCTGAACATTGCATTATGAGATTTCTCAGGAGACAGAACAGGAAACCCTGATAGCTGTAGAAAAGGAAAGGGAGAATAATGAGGTCAGTGACAGCTGCTCAGTACTTTGTGGCACTCACAGGACATGGAGCATCAAAGTTGATAGAACCATAGGAGTCCAACAGCATTAGCATTTTATCTATCAAAAGAGGTTACAGTTTTGGCAACAAGGAAAGAGAAAACTAACACAAATTTAAGGAGTCTTTCAAGTCAAAATATGTATTTGGCCTAATAAATACCCCACTCCTTAATTCTTCTATTTGTATAGATTAGAGAATCTTTATATTAGACATTTTAAATCAATTAGTAAAATTTTCTACAAGATAAATGAAATTATGTATTATTAGTATATTTTATGATCTATTATTTATTATCCTATTATCACAGGTAATCCATGAGCTTATTTAGCTGGTATTATTAAAGCTATTTAGGCATTCGAGTCACATGATAGAAGAAAAAACTTGAGTACCTCTATAAAATCTCTCATACTCTGAATTGTTGCACTGTTGAATAGTTCTTTGGGTAACTTTAAGACAATATTTTTGCAGTCACAGAAATTATGCAGGTTATTATTTAAGACTATCATGTACAAAAATCACTCTCATAATCAACAGGCCTTGTCAAAACATCCAATTAGTTAGGTTATTCCTTTCTGATGGTCTTTGGGGAGTAGTCAAGGAGACTAAACATCTCTTACAAAGCCCTGTTTCAGCTGTCTAAATAAATCTATCTCTTAATCTGAAGGAAAAGGCAAGTTTGAACATCTGATATCTTTATAATGTTTTTCATATAGTTAAGTGTTTCTACTTAATAACTATGGTATCGCATAAACCTTGGAAGTTTTTGCCACTCATCAATAAATTCAAATAAAATTAGAATTTCAGTGTATCTAAACCCCTATGTTAATCTGAAACATTGGATTATAAGTAGATCTCTATGCTTCTTTATTAAGTATATATATATGTATATAGTAATATTCATAAAAAAGAGAATGTGAACCCTTAAAACTATCCCTGTATGTAGATCAAGCCTTTTGTTGGAGAGAGAATTTGTAGATGAAGTTCACTGAAAGCAGTATAATACCATTACCTGTAATAAATTGTGACTTGACAGGGAAATAAAGCAACTTGACAACCTACTATTAAGAATTCCTATTAAGAATAAGGAAATATTTATAATATCCTATTTTATCAGAAATATTTACAGTGTCCTATTTTAGTCTGGTAGCTTTTGTTTGAATTATTGTGATTTCATTTTGAGGAAAGTTAATTGATCTCTTTTTGTTTGCCATACACAATAGTTAGTGGTATTCAGGTAAAAAAAGATTTGTTCATTGTCCCTGACATCTGACCTTTGAATGTGATCTTATTTGTAAATAGAGTCTTTCCCGATGAAATGTAGTTAATGATTTTGGGTCGGGGACTTTCACAGGTATAGAGCATAAGACAGACATATCTTTTGTGAAGACATCATTCAACTTACTACAGATGGTAAAAAGGTGCAAACTGTAAATCTTCCCCCAACTTGGACAGAAGCACCAATGCCAGGTTTTTACCACCAACCATTCTTAATAATCCCTACACTTGTTGTTGTTCTTTAGTTATAATCAAAGTGCAATCTCTTTCTCTCCCTTTCTTCCTTAAATAGCCCCTTACCTGACATTCTCCTCTACTTCCCATTTCTACCTGCATCATCTTCCTCTTACTCTCCTTCCAGGTATCTTATATCAAGTATTCATTGGGTGTGTTGAATACTTTCTATATCCTTATATAATTTATATACAAATTTTTTACATTCCTTTTGTCAAAAATATTAAGACCATTTTATATAACTGTATGCTCTTTTCAGAAGTGTCTCCAAGTCAACTGAAGCAGAGCTAATTCATTCTGTTCATGATCACATAATGTGCCTGTATAGATTGTAGAGGATAATGTTGGGGTCCCCTTAGCTTATTTGGTGCACCCCTTCCTAAGTGCTGTGAGTGTATTGGCTACTGATGGCTTACAGCTAAGCCCTTCTTGGAGAACTGCTCTAAACCCAGATGGAAGCCACCTTGCCAGAAAGATTATTACTCCTGCCTCAGTCCTGTGTGTGTGTACTGGGTGGGCAGGGGACATGGCAGTGAGGCAGACCTCAACCAGTGATTTTGTATTCATATTCTTACCTACATACATTTTAATTTATAAATCTTAGATTCTAATGAGTAATGAATTAAGTCAAAAATGTGTGTACCCTTTAATATATATTGCCTTTAATAAATATTCCAAAGGCTATAGCAATTCAAATTTTCATCAGTGATACATGAGAGTACCATTTCCCACAACCTCTTCTCCACCTAGTCTCTGCCAGGTATATGTATTATGTTTCTTTTTGTTTTTCCCAGTTGTTGTCTCCTGGTTATTTTATTTTTAAATTTCTGATTAATAATGAATTTGAGCATTTAAAAAATACGACTTCCAGTTTCTCATCTGGCATATAAGGAGCTTAAAAGTCACCATTATAGGATTGAGGCAAGATGGCGGGCTCGTGGTGAGCAGTGGTGAAGGGGTGAAAATGGGTATGCCTACAAGCAGATTTTAAAAGCAGTTTCTCTTCAAATGATCTTTCCTCTCACCTGATAAACATCTTGATTCACCATGGCATTAGCAGCAGCAAAATGGGTGATATCAAACAGGACTGTCTTGAAACATTTAATTCCAATTCAAAATGGAGCTTTATGTTGTGTTAGTCATAAATCTACATATTCTCTTCCAGATGACTATACTTGCAAGGTAGAGCTGGCTTTGACATCTGATGGCAGGACAATAGTGTGCTACCACCCTTCTGTGGACATTCCATATGAACACATCAAACCTATCCCTCGGCCAGATCCTGTGCATAATACTGAAGAAACACATGATCAAGTGCTGAAAACCAGATTAGAAGAAAAAGATGAACACATTGAGCAAGGACCCATGATAGAACAACTTAGCAAAATGTTCTTTACTACTAAGCACCGTTGGCATCCTCGTGGACAGTATCATAGACGTCATATGAAACTGAATCCACCAAAAGACAGATGATATTGAGGTTTTCAGAAGTCCAAGAGAAATGTTAACCCTGTGTCTCGTTTGCCATGAGAAAATGCAATTGGGTATATTCACTAATACATTATATAGTACAATTTCATAATTAGAATATGTATTAAGTAATTCTGGATTTGACATTCTTATTTACAGAAACCTATTTCATCTTATTTTTATTTTGAGATATTAAAGTCTATCATTTGTTTTTATATGTCTAGTATGAGAAAGTATTTTTATAATACAAGCCAAATATCATTAGTACTATAAATATGATTAATAAAAATGTGCATGGTACTTATTCTGAAGATTTTCAATTGCCTGTGAAAGAAACTGATGGAGTCCATGAGTTTTTTGTTTTCTGACTGTTTTAAAAATTATGCAAGCTTCAGAACACTGGCAACTCTGTGATTAAAACATTAATGTCCTAAACTGTTAAAAGAATGTTAATAGATTATTCTGCTATTGATTGTCACTACCAGCTTATATATAATGCTTAATAAAGCATTGCTGCCCCTCTAATTTCTGTTAAAAAAAAGTCACCATTATAACCTAACAACAAGTAAAAACCTAACTGAAAGTCAACAACTGTTCTTAGATCTGTAAAAGACCAAATATGTCTTTATTATAAATCGCAATTAAAGACCCCAGTCATAGATGTCCCCACACTTGTGGGTTCTAACATGCCCCACATCAAAGCTGTACTAGGTACTTACAGTGAATATTGAAGAAAAAGCCTCTTGTGCTTCCAACAAGAAGAGGGGGAAAAGAACCATTTGGAAATACACCAGGACATTTTTATTCTTCTTAACAAGGTCTGACCTTAGATAAACTACACCAAACCCTATTCTATGAAGCTGCAGGGTTTATCAAAGCCTAACCTACCTGGAAGAAGGGAAACACCCTTCTTCAGCTCCTTCTAGACTTTAAGGTGGAGGAAGGGAAATATCCACCTCCAGTCTCCTCCAGCCATCCTGTCCCACCTAAGGTAGGGAGAGGGGAAGCCCCAAGAGGCACTAGTGAAGTAAACTGTGGGTTCAGGAGCACAAGCGCACTAAAAACCAATACCTAATCTTAGGACTATAGAATGCTTCTCCTCTCCCCGCAACTTGAAACTGCATCACTAAAGACCTATTTACTATGGTTCTTTTTACCCAGTACATTGTGTCCACCTTTCAACAAAAAATTATAACACCTACTAAAAGGCAAAATCACAGTTGGAAGAACTCAAGCAAACATCAGAACCACAGTGAGATATGACAGGAATGTTGGAATTATCTTACCAGGAATTTATAAAAAGTATGATTACTATGCTAATAATAACAGACAGATGGTGTAGGCAGACAGAGATCTTAAAGAAATCCTATCTTACTACAATGATGGACAGTGTCTTCAATGGGGTATGGTGGGGGGACTTGATAATATGGGTGAATGTAGTAACCACAATGTTTTTCATGTGAAACCTTCATAAGTGTGTTTATCAATGATACCTTAAAAAAAAAAGCTAATGGAAAAAAAATGCTAGAGATCAAAAACACTGCAACAAATGAAGAATGCCTTTCATAGACTCATTGATAGACTGGACCCAGCTGAGGAAAGAAACTCTGAGCTTCAGGATATGATAGTAGAAACTTCTAATCTGAAAAGCAAAATACCAAAAGGATGAAAAAGAGCAGAACATAATACCTGAGAACTGTGGGACAACTGCAAAAGGTGAAAAGTATACTTAATGGGAATACCAGGAGAAGAAAGAAAAGAACAAAAGAAATATTTGTAAAGACTGAAAATATTCCCCAAATTAATTTCATACACCAAACTATATATCCAGGATACTCAGAAAACACCAGGCACATACATGCCAAAAACTCAGACCCAGGCATATCCTTTTCAAACTTCAGAAATCAAAGATAAAGTCTGGAAAGAACCCAGAGGGAAATAAAATCCCTTACCTATAGAGGAGCAAAGATAAGAATTACATCCAACTTCTCACAAACCATGCAAGCAAGAATANTTAAAGTGGATCACAGACATAAGTGAAAAAATGCAAAACTATAATACTCCCAAGAAATAATGTAAGAGAAAACCTAAATGACCTTGGGTGTGGTGATGATGTTTAATATAACACCAAAGGCACAATCCACAAAAAATAATAATAAAAGCTGGACTTCATTAAAATTAAAAACTTCTGTTCTGTGAAAGACAACATCGAGAAAGAGAAGACAAGCCACAGTCTAGAGAAAATATTTGTAAAAGACACATCTTATAAATAAAGAACTGTTATCCAAAACATACAGAGAACTCTTAAAATTCAACAATAAGAAAATTAACAACAGATTTTAAAGTGGGCAAAAGTCCTGAACAGACATCTTACCAAAGAAGATATACAGATGGCTAATAAGTATATGAAAAGATGTTCAACATCATATGTCACTAGGGAAATGAAAATTTTAAAAATGAAGTACTGTGGGAAAAATGGAAATTCCTGTGGCCAGGATCCTCACCTGAAACTAAACTACTTGATGATGTAATTGGTCTGCTGCTAGGCTACTGATTCCACACCCATAGGCAATAAGGTATTATTGACTGAGTCACTATATAAAGAGCTCTGCCCAGTGCTCTAGACAGAGGCAGAGAGGAAAGAAGATTATAGACCTACAGACTGCTGGATGCAGATGTAATTCTAGTGCTCAACCTACTGCAGGAAGAACAAAGCTGGGTAATAAACCTTTTTACCCCAAGAATGTTCCATTGTCAGTTCTTAGTCTCACTGAATCCACAGTGAACTTGCCCAGGGCTGAAACCCATTGGCAAGACAGTTGGTGTAGTCAGCAGGATTGATTGTTCACTGAGGAACAGAACAGGCTGCCCTCATGAGAGGGATGCTTCAATGGGCTGCCCCTATGAATGGGGAGATGGCTGAGTGTCCCCCAGTGGGCATGTGGTCTGAGGTGGCTTGCCTCCTAGAGGACTGGGTCCTACCCCAGGACTGGAGGCAAGTGGAAGTGATACCTGAGGCAGTAGAGGTGGCCCTTGGTATAATCAGGAGCTCCTCTGAGAAACAGAGTGCCCACGAGGTGGTGGGAACTGTGGGTTGGCTATTTCTCACATTATTAAATAAGCCTATAGATGAGAAAAATATGCTCCTGAAAGAGAAGAAATGACAGCAGAAGAACGCAAGCTGCAAACTGCTGTGGATTCATTGAAGACTAAAATAGCATTGATATGAGAGGAGGAAGCACAAGAATGCCTGCTGTGAAGTGCTATGGAGGAAGTAAAAGATTTGTTAAAAACTAAAATGGTGTTACTGCGAGGTACTGTGGAAGAGGTAAAGGCCATGAAGGAGAAGGCGTACCCCTGCAAAAAGCACAAGAAGAGGCAGTGCAAGAACATGAGCTGTGAGGTGCAGTGGAGGAGGTTCTTTACAGAATGAGACAGCACACTATTTGCAGATGATATGATATTGTACATAAAAAACCCTAAAGACTCCACTCCAAAACTACTAGAACTGATACCAGAATACAGCAAAGTTGCAGGATACAAAATTAACACACAGAAATCTGTAGCTTTCCTATACACTAACAATGAACCAACCAATAGAAAGAGAAATCAGGAAAACAATTCCATTCACAATTGCATCAAAAAGAATAAAATACCTAGGAATAAACCTAACCAAAGAAGTGAAAGACCTATACTCTGAAAACTACAAGTCACTCTTAAGAGAAATTAAAGGGGACACTAACAAATGGAAACTCATCCCATGCTCATGGCTAGGAAGAATTAATATC